TTTAGCATAAGAATAATTACCATATGGGTTATTAAAATGGCGGGTCCAGCTGATCTGCATTCAACGACGCTTTCAAATGCATTATTACGAATGCATCGTCAGTCTAGGTATGATTATATGTCATTGCCTCTAATACATATTATCTTAAAAGAAAATTTTCATTTTTCAAGCCCACCAGATTTTGTTAAAATAAATGGTCTTCAAAATAAGATTGGAAATATGAGAAGGCGTATTGAATGTCAATCAACTTCTATGTCATTTTTTTTTGGCTAATTGATATGATTTAGATTTATTTGAAAAAGAAAGAAAAAAAATCTGGCTGGTCCAGGTTCTTAATTTTTTAAGGCTCGGATCGGATTTTAAAAGTAAAATCGTACCATGTAATGGATCCATTCCATTTCCGAACTTCAAGTCTCTAATTTAAATTATGGAAATGAGGGAGGCAGGGGACAGTAAAAATGAATTATTATTTTTTATCAATAATTAATTTAATAAGATAATATTTATATTCTAGGCGAATGTATTCTCCATTGCATTATATAAAAATGACAAAAGCTTTTATAAACATTAATTATTTTTTTTTCAGGAGGGGAAGGGGGGAGGAGGGATAAAAAAAATCGATAAAAAATTTCCACGTGAAATAAAATAATTAATATGTACTGTAAATTTAAGAAAATGAGTCGTTTCTAATTTGAGCAAAAAAATAAATAAATTTGAAATGATTCGCGCCACAATTCGGTGTTGGCGCGGAGTTGTAAATTATATTATTATAAAGGTAAGTTGAGTTGTTAGTTGATCAATTTATCCAAACTAATCTGAGGCTGGAGAAAAAGGGAGTAATTTATTTCTCATCGAATCTGTCCGAGACTGGGTTGGTCGAAACGGTAATGGGGCATGCTAGACCAGACCTTGGCAGTTTTTTTAACAATGGAAAGCTTCAATGGCAGATTCTTCTTAGGGGCAAGTGAGATAATAAATGATAGTAATTTAACAAATCACCTGAATCAAGCCCGAGCCCAATTCCGTAGTTTTAATTTTATCTTAGGTATGAGCTTGACCGATCCAAATTTTAAAATAAAAATTACTAATTGCCCTCTCCTTGTCACAAAAACCCGATAATCATCTTTTTTTTTGGATTAAAATTATATATATAACCATTCACATTTCAGGTTTATTTTTTTAGAGAAACATTATTATATTATAACGAATTAAGGCTTAAAGGGCTGTTTAATCTAGGCGTTTTCAAAAAAATATATATATAAATTTACTCAAATAAAAGTGAATATTTTAAGCGTGTTTTTTTTACTTCTTTTAAAATGTCTTTTCATAATAATCTTACATCGGAACTAGAAGTAATTACCTTTTTTGTTTAAATGAAAGAAGAATCAATATGTTAAATCAAATCACCTAACCAATTCAATTAGCATATTGACTGATTGATTTAAATCTTCGTCAATTCGCGTTATTGCCCAGTATATACATTAAAAATGATTCAAAAGTTCATGATTCAAATTATCTGAAATTTATAGGAATTCTTCACATACAGGTATAGATTTTTGGCAAATTGAGATTATTAAAAATGTCAAAAAGAAAACGATTTAAACATATGATCGGATATTTACCAACTTTTAAATCCTTTATTTATCGCGGTTTTTTTAAATTTAAAATAATCTTCCTAAAATGTATTTCTATCTCATGTCAAAATTTATAGCGGTCTCAAAAATTATGAACATCGTCGATAATTCATTTTAGAAAAATTTAACCCCCCCCCTCTCACAAACAAACTTTTATAGATAATTATACTCTAGTTCATATAGATGCTTTTTCGAGATCCGAAAAATGGTGAAATTAGGTAGCGCGTCACGTTTTTTTTACGCGCTGTTAAAAATATGAATCTAGTGAGCATAACGATGTATATATACTACTAAATTCGCGATTAGATGCATTTTAAAATGTCAATATATAGGAGTCAGCTGTAGCGCCATTTTGTGGCATGTATGTCGATTACATTGACATTAATATGCATTCATATATTGATAAATAAAGATAATTAATCTAAGTATATAAACCACAAAATAGCGCTACAGCTGACTCCCAAGAACGGGCACTTTTAATTAATGAATCACCAATTTAGTAGGATATATACATCATAGAGTGAGTCATACTTATGTTAGATTTCGCCGGGGTAACATAATATCAAAATTAGTCTCAACAAATAAAAATTTAGCGGTAATAAAAAGGACCTTAACTTGGGGCTGGGTTTCTGTTGAACCAATCTTGCTATTTTTAAAAAGGGTATAATGATTTAACTTCTATAAACTATAATAAATTTGTTTTAATATTTTAATATAAATTTTGGAGGATTATTGTGTACAGGAAGATTAGCCCTGAATTTTTCTTAAAAACTTAAAACCACGATATAGCTCCTTTGAAATTTTCAAATTTCATAGGGAGGGGATGGGATCAAGAATAGAGAGAAATATAACAGAATATTTATACGATCATTTTTAAAATAAGGATTTTGCTGGGAAGTACCAAGCGAATTGGTATCAAGAATAGGAGATGATAACCAATAAGATGTTAAATAAAATATTCTCAAGCAAAATAAATAATTTTTTTGTATAATCCTTATTAAGGTAAACTACCTTATCTGGAGTGAGGGAGGAGGAATTTGCTCTCATGTGTTTTAATAAGGTAGAACTATGAGACACGCTCTTGGAGGCATAGGGGGTAAAACATGTGTTGGGGGTAGAGGGGAGAGACCCATTTTTATTTTCTCGTAATGATGTTAACCATAACCAATGGTATATTTTAAAAACTTGGCATACATACTTAATAAGCAGTTTTTCCCCGCAAAATATTTATTTTATAACGTTATAAATTTATATAATATTATAACATTACAGTTAAGAGAAGAGAAAAAAAAACAACCTTTGATTGCTCAGGTGTGGTCTAGTAAAATAAAAATCTCCCAAAATATATAATTTTTCAAAAATATTTATCACTTATATTAATATATACTTATAATCTCGAAAATAAGGTTAATTGCATTTACCAGAACATTCAATAGAAATAGTTGGAATTAGAGGTTTGCAAAATCACGGTGGCCCGGGTCTATTTTTAAAAATAATTTCTCGGTCTGGGTCGGGCCTATTTTTTTAAAAAAAGAATTCGGGCCGGGCCGGGTTGGGTTGGGTCGGGTTGGGTCGGGTTTAAATTTTCAAATATGATATCATTTACATTTTGTCAAATAAATTGAATATATTTTAAAATGATTGCAAAAAAAACAAAGCGATAATTTATATTTTTATATATATTTAAATATATTCGAGGCGGGCTTGAAACATTAGGCCCGATGCAGATCACTAGTTGGAATAACTCTTATTTTAAGGGGGGGGGAGGATCTACCCTAGTTTAAGGCCATCCTAACTTACATTTTGTTGCACTTTTTTTTCTAAGGTAGTAATGTAAATTCCTGATTTTCTTTAACGTTACTGGGGAAAAGCGAATGTCAGCTGATTCAAGAAAAAATATGATAAAATTTTCCATTCTTATTGTAAAGTTGCCGAGAAAAAGGCTAAGATAAGAACGGCCTCTTAAGGAAATAGATAGAAAGTTTAGAAAAATTACATAAAATGCCTTATGATGAACCATTCCGAAGCTCAACCTCTTTGAACAAATTATATTTTATGATTCCGATCATTATGATAATTCCAACTCCGAGAATGATGCAGTAGTTTCGCTAGAGGAAGCACAGTGGCACACGGGGAGGGGGCGAAAACCCCGTAAAAAATTTGGAAGGCTTGGTGAGCCTTATGAATCGGAAACAGCTAGCGATTAGACAATCGAAGTAAAAGCAACCGTTTTCTATTTTATTTTTTAAGTCTGAGCGTTTCATCTCAAATCAATTTTTTTTTAAAGATTAACCCGGTTGCTTAGTATATATATCTTAAATCCAAGGACTAAACTCATTGTCAAAATCAAAAAGTTTTATTGCTCATGAATAAAGAAGATTAAAGGTCCCGTTCAGAGGACCGAATACCGGATCGGGTTTTCACAAATCGGTACTTGATTTGATTAATGAAGCAAACTTTTAAATATAATTAGATTAGAAGCCGATTCTTAAACTTCGCTATTAAGGCGTTAGTATAAGTAAATTTTATCATAAAAAATGCGTCATTAATAAGATATAAATCGAAAGAAAGAGAGAATATCAATCTCTTTTTTTAGGTATCTTGAAAGTGTTTCAAATTTCTTTAGTTATCCACACTCAATGATGTATATGTTCAACTAGATTGTTGATTCATTCCATACATAGGAGCCAGCTGTACGCCATTTTGTGGTTAGCACGTCGATAGTGTTGTTAAACGGCTCATTTTGAGCCTATTTTTTAAAAAAACGATCAACTCAGTATTTTATCCAGAAAAATATTAAGCCTGAAGATCTTCTCATAGATGGCACAAACGTCTTGACATCTACTAGCGAAATCTGGATGCTTAAGCAATTTTTTTCTGGGCTTAAATATAGAGTTAGCCCTTTTTTTAAAAGCGGCTCAAAACGAGCCGTTTAACAATAATATATAGCCAACTCTAGGGATACTTTTTAATGCATTTGTTGAATGAATCGCCAATCTAGTAGTATATATATATATATACCTCATTGTGTCCATTACTATAATATAAATGAACCCATTAGCACAACATATATATTTATATTTTTTATAAAAAGACAAAATATATTCATTATAAAAATAAGGAATATTTAAATATTTTAAACATGGTAATTTAAAATAACTGAACCAATGATAAATTTTAAACTGTCGTTAAAATGCCTTTTCCACTAGGACACCTTAAAAATGGCCAGTCAATAAACGAGAGTGGTTAAAAAAAAAGTATTATGATATAAGAAAAGATTTATGAGAATCTTAAGTGTTTTTAAATTTAGAAAATAAAAATACAATTTGACTATAATATAATATAAATAATTTTTTTTTTCTTTACCAGCAACACACTGTTTATGCTCCGCCAGAAATTCTTGATAAGTCATTTTGAGAGCATGTTGAGCTCTTTCTTCCTTGGGCCTCTCGATCCTCAGGAATATCGCAGCGCCCAGAAGAAGAAAACAGAAATAGAATACTATAGCTATCAGGAGTTTGACAGAACTTTTTCTCATTCGCGCCATTTTTAATAATATCTTACTATATTTCTTTGGTTTTCTCAAAAACAACGAAAAAAGGTTTTAAAAATTTTATAATGATTTTATATAATTTTATTTTAAAATTTCAAATATATATACAAATACAAGCATAAAAGGAAATAAATGAAAAGCGAAAAGCAAAAATAGTTGACTCGAAGATCAAATTTTAATATTTTATAATATTCCGTAAAAAGTTTTTAAAATACTTTAAAAAAAAATTTTTTTTTTTTTGAATTAGAAAAAAAATGAGGAAAAAAATGGCGGAGGGGGGCTGGATGGTATATTATTTATTACTAAAATATAAATCGATTAAATTTAAAAAAAGAGAGAGAATGTATTATTTAATTTATTTCCCCCCCCCCCCCCAAAAAAAAAAAAATTGAGAAATAATATTTTATTTGTTTTTAAATGTGTTTTTTTTATGTTAAAATTTATATTTAATTACAGAGACCTGCGTAGGTACCATCTGAAGGGCCCGACCCGGCTCAGCCCGGCCCGGATTATTTTTCAAAAATTTTTTCCGACCCTGGTTTTATATTTTTAGGATCGTATTTATTTTTGATTTTTCTAGCTAATAATGACGATTTTAAATATTTGGTTTTAAAATATACGACCCGACCTGGATATATTTTAAAAAAATTAATATAACTCCCCGCCTGTCTATCCGTACCGGGCTGGGTTTAGGGTAGGGTCTGCAAATCTCTGATATTTTGTGCAAAGTGATAGGTTATATTTGGTCTGCGGAAAAACTTTCCAATTTTAGCTCTGGTTTTATCTTAATCCGCCGCAAAATCGCGCCAACTGTGAGTACAGGTATCAAAAATAGGATAGTTTTCTATCAAGAAATGATAAAAAAAAAAGTTAATTTGCTTTGCTGGATTTTTTAGGCTTTTCCTATAATAAGAAGCTTTCAAAATGGAAACACGCTTTATTTATTTATATATGTGTATTGTGTATAATTTTATACAATTTAAATAAAGCATGGTAGTTAACCGGGATTTTGTTTTCCAGGGGGAGTAGCGAAGGTCGCGATCCGGTCTTTGGTCCGGCCCGGATCGGTACATATAGACTAGATTATGGTGACAGGTCTTTTTATATATTTACTTTTTTTTAAACTTAATTTAAATATAAAAGTGTTTACTGTTAACAATATCAGACCAGATATTGATAATATAATAAATAATATACAAATATTTAATTTAAATAAATGCTGATGTCTTTGTTTGTAAAACAACTAGGGAATTAGAAAAGGGGTCTCAATAGTGGTGGATCTAATTCCATTTTGTCTATTATAAACCATTTTAATATTATTTGATCCATATGTTCAGCTTGGTATTTGTAGTGGTATTGAAAAAAGTAAATTTGTGGATTGGACGGTATAAATTAAGAGTAGATTAGATTTTAATATATTTACGCCATGAAAGTTTAAAATTTGATATTTTATCAGATGGTCCTGCTTAAGCATCTAATAATATTTTTTATTTGGAATTAATATAAATTATTATAAATTACCGTTGCTGATAGATTCATTAAATTTGATATTGCAGTGAACACATATCCCTGTGTTTTTTATTGGCACTCTAAGTAAATTTTTTTTTTGACCCTAGTTTTCATAGTGTATTTGTAAAATAGAAATGAACTAAAATTTGAAAAAAATTAACACAAAACTAAAGTAACTTCTCCAGAAAAGTAATATATGAAGCAAAAATTTAGCAAAAAAATTATATGAATCGAATAGTAAGGCAAATTTAATTATTAATAAAAGACCGGTTCGGGCTAGAAAAAATTAAGACCTATCCGGACCACGGTTCTCCTTTATCCTCGGGTTTAGCTTCGGTAAATACCGATAGATTCCGACTGTTGCCTTTTACCAGGAGAGAGGAAGCCATTTTACTGAAGGATTTTAAATCCTTCTTGTTGTAGGTTTCTAGTCGGGTTACATGATAAAAAATAATAATTAGGGCTGGCTACTTTGGATGAGATGGGATTTGGTGGGGGTAGGGGTAGAGGAATACTTTTTTTTACAAAAAGTTCAAAATGATATTTACGAAAATTTACAAATTTTTTGAATATAGATTTCCCCCTGCACGTCCCCCGATTGTTTGTCTAAACAAACATATATGTAAATAAGTAAAATGTACATATTATATATTTTAAATAAAAATATATAAATTAATATTATTACATATATACATAATATTACAATAATTGCGATTGCGTCGTTTTAGATCAATAATAAATTATTTATATAATATTAACCCTACGCAGGTTAAACGTAATAGGGACATAAAAAATAGTGAGGAAGGGAGGAAAAAAAATGGGGAAATGGGAGGGTAAGGGGGAAGAGTAGGTAATATCATGTTTTACCTTTTAAAAAAATAATGAGAATAATAGAAAATGTTTAATAATCGATTTAAATTCAATTATATATGTATATATATATAATATATATAATATAAAACATATAGATAATTAAAGAAACGATTTATAAGGTGGAATATACAAGATAATTTGATCGTTTTTTATTCGTAACATTTCACGTGGCTTCTTAAAATTAATATAAAATCAATAATGTTTAAAAGTTTTTTTTTTAAAAAAAAAGAAAAGAGAAAAAAGAAAAGGTGAAAGATATGAAAATAATTTAAAATATAAATTTATAAATTAGTGTTGTTAAAAAAGTCCGATTGGGGTCGATTTATCAAAACGGCCCAATTTTAGTTAAAATAATATTATGTAAGCATCGAAATTTGGCAAATAGATGTCCAAACATTCCTGTCAGCTGTGTGCAAAATCTTTAGACTTACGTAATGTTATTTTTGGTTAAAACCTTTCGGGCTTTTTAGCAACACTAATTGTGAAAATATAAGGTATAAGGAAAATGCAAAAATTATATAGAGATTTAAAATAATTAATATTTAGCGTCAATGTGTTTTTTTCCGGCAATGTGTTATTTTTTCAACTTTAAATCATTTTTTTTAGCGCGTTTTTTAAAATTAAAAAACCTGATTTTACTGAGTTCCATATTTGAAATACCTATCTTATGAATTGTAGATAAATGCTGCAAACCTTAGAGTCATTTATAATTTATATAAAAAATATATGGAAAATTTTAATATAAATTATATTAAGTTTAAAAGTTCATGGAAAAATTGTCTGAAAATTTATAGGATAGGTATTCCAAAAATTAACGGCATATTTTTCCTGTAAAATCCGATTTTTAAATTTTAAAAAACACGCTCAAAAAATGATTTAAATTTGTAAAAATAACACATTGCCTAAAATAACACATTGACGCTGACTCATATATATCTAGATCTGGAGTTCCAGTTCCATATAAGCGGAGGCATATCGAAATAGATATAGCTAAAATTTATAATATATATATATATAACATTGACATAGTATCATCTATCTCAAAAGAATAATCTGTTGTTGATTCCTCTATTCAATGTTAACGAAAAAAATAATCTGTTGTTGATTCCTCTATTCAATGTTAACGAAAAAAATATTTAAATACCCGTGGCCGCATAATTTTACAAAGAAAAAATTGTCGGAGTAATCTGGAACAGAAGCCATGGGGCGCATTTGAAAATTGTGCGAAAAAATTATTATAAAATGATTTTTTTCACTAAAAATTTATTATTTCGTAACAGATATAAAATTAATAGTAATGTGGAACCTTATTGATAACAAATTTTTTGAATATAATTATAATAATACTATATCATGATTTTATAATGCCTGCCTTTTATATAATAAGCAGCAGATACAATGTAAGAGGAAATTGCCTAGGTAACCAAGAAAATATCACTGATAGACATAAATGTTTTGCATTCCCTGTTTGTTCCACATTTCTGCTCATTTATCATAAAAGCTTTTATATTAATAATATCATCAAGTTCTATATAATATGTGATTAGGGTTGATAAGAAGCCCGATTCGGGTCAAAATTTAGCCCGAATAATATTATGCAAGCTTGGAGATTTTGATCATAGATGGAAAAAAGGTTTGGACCTCTAATTGGCAAATCTCGAATACATAATATTATTTTGGCTAAAAAATCAACCCGAATAAAGGATTTTTTCAAACCCTATAATGTAATAGAGGGGAATAAGCTTTTTGAATAAAAAAATATTTATATACAATGGGAAAATGGTATAGAACATTTTTTCCCCCTTAAATATAGGAATATTAGAATAAATTATAAGATTCTGATATGGAGATATAATATTTTTTTAGTCATACACTTTTTTGAATTAAATCTTTCTAAACTTATATTTTATTTTTTAAAAGAAAGAATGTTTTTGACATGATTCCCCCACCATTTTTTTTATATTAGGAAGAAGGTAAGATCTATATAATATTTCGCTATTTAAAAACAATTATTTACTCGTGTTAAAACAAGTCTCAATAATTAGTATATAAAATGAGAATTATATTATTTTCTTGTTAAAAAATATAATAAACGTGTATTAACAGGTGTTATAATGTATTCATTACAAACAATTGACTTTATTTATTAAAAATCAAGTTTATGCCGATATTTTTACAAAAAAAACATCTAAACTAATCATATTATAAGGCCCATCTATCGAATAGTAACAAATACAAATAGTAAATTATTCGTAATTATTCGAATAATTAGAATAAGTTATTGAATATTTTTTAAAAATATTTTATGGTTGCATTTTGATAATCATTGAGATAATTATCTCTTCTTACTGAGATACAAGAATTTTTTTAAAATTTACAAATTTATTTTTTGGGTGAAATTTGTTCTTTTTTCTTTCTTAACTTTAAACTAATGATATTAAAATGGTTTGTTTAGAGCCGATTTTTAAAAACGTCTAAGTCAATATTTTAGCCAGAAAAATATTGCCGTAGCCTCGAGATTTTTCTAATAGATGTCTAGACTTTTGTGCCATCTATGAGCCAAACTTCAGACTAACTTAATATTGTTTCTGGATACAATATTGAGTCAGCCGTTTTTAAAATCGGCTTCAAATCGAGCCTTTTTACCACACTATACTCTAAATTAATATTTTAAAATCTTAAAAAGTACGAATCAAAAAAATATAAAATATCAATAATTATTCATA